GAGCCTCTGACCCACATGCAAGGAATAGAGAGAGAGCACAGTGTCACCAGGGTGTGGGGTGTGAAAGGCGTCTTGCCTCCCGAGGCTGTGGCTGGTTGCCCAGATGTTCCTGGGGGTGGGTGACTTCCCCTAAGAATCAGGTGGCTGGCTCCTTGGCTGGCTGCTCCCATCTGCCTACCCAAACTGGACTTACACTTGGAAGTAGAGAAAAGCTTCATGGAGACCTGAAACTTAGACACAGCCATAGCCCCATTCCTCCCAGCTTCCTTAATCTCCTCGGGGTGGAGCACCAAATCAGAGGCAGAAGGCGTTCAGGTCAGCCATGGTCTCCACCTGCTGGTTATGTGACCTTGGGCAAGTTACTTAACCATTCGGAGCTTCTGTCCAATGTATGTGGCTAATCATTGCACTGACCTATAGGGCTGCTTCGGGGGACCAGGCCAAACATCTGAATAGAGCTGTGACTTGTTGCCATACTTGTTGATTGTATTATTATCTTCCTCAGCCTTTTCCTTATTGTCCATATCCACCCAGCACCCCTTATCTGGGCCTCACTAACTTTCTCCCTGCTCCTCCCCACGTTGTTCCAGCTCCCCTCGCCCCTGGCCAGAAGGGGTGCTTTAAATGCCTCCAGGGCCAGAGAGAAATGAAAGCCCCTGCTTTGGTTGATAACCACATTGTTGATAACAGTGGGATTGCAGCCATGGTCAGGACTCCAACTGCCCTCCTCCGGCATGTACCTTCTCCTTCTGCCTCTGGCCTCTAGCCTCCCTGACTCTCTAACATCCCTCCTGCAACCCAGGCTCCTCTAGCCTTTGCTGAGGGCCCTGCAGCCTGGCTGCTCCGTTGGAGGCAGTATCTATTTGACACCAGGTCCCAGCTCCAAGGTGGGTGCCCCTCCCCACCAAGGTCTGTCCCAGCACCCTCACCCGTACCCACAGGTCTTAGCCTGTAATGGCTACATTCCTGGTATCTGTCTCCCCAGCAGCCCAGGGCAGGGAGCGACGTTCCTTCACACTGTGCACCCAGCACCAGCCAGAGGAGGTGGGCTCAGCCTGGTCCCTTCACTCCACCCCATGTCCCCATTACCACCCCATCACCACTCCATCATTGCAGGGGGCCTGCTCTGGCCTGATCCGCAGGCAGGGGCTTGGGGTGAGGACAAGCACTGGGGAACTCACCTCTAGGTCAGTCTGATCCTTCCCCTAGCCCTCCACCCCAAACCCTCCTCCAAAGGCGGAGGGCAAAAGAGCCCAGTGTGTGAGCTGGAAAGCAGGATACCTTTTGCAGCCCAAACCTCATTTGCTGTGTGGCCTTGAGCAAGTCCTCTATTCTCGGGGTCTTAGTCATCCTGGCTCCAAAATGGATTAGGGGTACAGACACACTCAGATGTCTGCAAGGGCAGGCAGGTGTCACTGCTTGGGCATCACGTTTCCACAGGGTTGGGGACACACTGAAGGGAGCGCAGTGGAGAAGTGGAGAGAGCCCATCCCACCTGGGCCAACCCAGGGGCTCCAGGCCTCCTGAGTCCTCAAGAGAAGGTGGAACTCTGAGTTTCAATTTAACAATCTCCTGCTTGTTAAATGTTGACAATTTGCATTTTTAAAAAGCACTGCATGGGTCAAATAGAGCATGTCTGGACCACAATTTGTGGGTGCTCGGCTGGAAGGCTAGGTTCAGGGGTCCTCTGGGGCTCTCTAAAAGGATAGTGTTTGTTCTTTAGGCCTCTCCTGCTCTCTTTTGGCAAGGGGTTGGGGGCTGCTGCTCCCTGTGAGCCACCCCAGACCTGCCTCCTGGAGCACTGGATGGCTTTGCTCCACTCTGGCCCCTCTTCTAGTCAATCAGAGCCCACCCCTTGCCCCACAGCTGGCTTCACAAACCCAGGACTAGGCCTTCCCCAAGTGGGCCAGAGCCTGAGAAGTTTTCAAATGTAGAACCAGCACAAGGCAGGTGTTGAGGGCCTCAGAACCCTCCTGCCCCGCCTAATCTCCAAATTCCTATCATAACTCGAGTGCCCTATCATTGTAAACCCTGGAGCTCATGTTTCCAACCCTCCAGGGCAGAGCTGAAAGGTTTCCAGAACCTCTAGCCACTCTGCAAGGCTGGCCCCCCACCCACCACTATTCAGACAGGCACTGACACCCCAAGAGCACTGCTGGCTCAAGGCAAGGCCACACTGAGCATCAGCAGCACAGGCTAGAGGTTTTGTCCACCTTCAAAACTGTTCCATGTCTATCTGGGTCTCCCTGAGGGGAAAGCTGGCAAGATTTTTCGCCTGGCCGGCCAACATGGAAACTGAGGCCCAGAGGAAAGCAGTCAGCTAGCTCCTCAAGGTCCCTGGGCTGCATGACCCTTAGAGAAGGGCACTGCTAAAAAATAGCTCCTGGGGCCCAGAGTGGGAAAGCATGAATTCTTGGGTTAGGGTTAACATTTTTCTTTTGCCTTGACCGCTGGGCAGGTGCTGTATACATCAGACCCTGACAGTGAAGATGACGCAGACTGAGGGGGAGGGAGGAAGTGGGGAAGGCCAGGTCCCAGCGTCATCTCCAGAAATGGAGCCTGACCTTGCCGGAACTCTGGAGGCTTGAGATCCCCTGCCCAGGGCCAGGGTGATAAGATGAGTTGGTACTGCGGCTCTGAGGAGGAGAGCAAGACAGAAGTGAGGGAGAGAAAAGAGAGGGAAGAAAAAAGCATGGGGGAGGAGGAGAGAGAGGAGGAGGAGAGGGAGAAGGCTGAATCCAGGAGAGGAATCACAGCTCTGCAAGAATGGGACCTACCCAGCCTTGTTCCTGAGGCAGGAGGGGCACTCCCACTTCACAAATGCAAAAATTGAGGCTTAGGGCATGGGGTAAACTGCCCCAAATCCCAGAATCAGAATGTAGCCGAGCCAAGATGAGAACTCATGGATTTAGCTTTTGCCCTTCAAGGTCTCAAACTGGAAACCACTCAGGTTGCATTTCCCAAAATGTGGTCCCAAGATACACCATCCCTGAATTACCAGGAGGGAGGCCTGGTTAAAATGCAGCTTCCTAGGTTAGAATCAAAGGGGAATGGTCCAGGATTACGCATTTTGCTCAGTGCCCTCATTGGTGATGGTCCTTTGAACCCTGACACTGGTAAGCTCTGTGGCTCTTTCATGGCCTTTCTGGTCTGGCTTCCTAGCCCACATCCCAGATGTACCCCCACAGCCCAGCTACTCAGGATGACTCACCCTGCCACCCCCAGAACAGAACTGGGCCTTTTCCACTGAAGGCCTGACCCACTAGTCTCCCAGTCCCACAGAGGCCCACGCTTCCAGCCAGCAGCTCTCTCCTGGAAGCCTTCCTCATTGTTGGGATTCCCCTCTCGTTCAGTGCCTGTTGGAGTAATAGCCTTCTCCTCCATCTGGAATTATTTACAACATTCTCTTTCATTTTTCATGTGGGTCTGCTTTGTTTCCCAACATTTCCCTCTATTAAACAGGAAATTCCCAGAGGGCTGGAAACTTGTTGGTTTAAGCAATAAGCCTCTGAAATCTATGACTTCACCTGACCCTCCTGCCAAGCACAAGCAGGGCTGGGAGAGCTTTACAATGAGGAAATGGAGTCTTAGAGAGGTTGTGGCCTGCCTAAGACCAAATAAGATTCAGAGCTGGGGCTTCTCCAGCTCCAATATCCAGTTCTGCTTCTGCTTAGCCTCTGATCACTCAAATAGCCCTGCAAGGCAGGCCGAACAGAGATTATGGGTCCATTGCCCAGATAAGGAAAGTGAGGCCCTGAGATTGGCAAAAGCACTCAGTACCATTTTTATCCTGTTTCTAGCAGCACTTAGGTCTGACCTTTTCTCTTACCTCCTCTCTGACTGATAGGCATTACCCAGGGCCCCTCAGCAGGATGAGGCAGAGCTGGGCCTTGGATTCCCAGGCAAGGCCCTCACTCTGGACCCCTGGCCTGGTCCCACTGCCACTCTAGACCCAGAGGCCTCCTCTAAAGGTGGACTCATCTCACCTGCCTTGAAGCTGGTCGGAGACCCAGAAAGGGTACTGGGAAGGACCCGGACACACCTTAGTCATCATCACTCTAGACTTTATTCCTCTTACTAATGCTCAGCTGGAGAAGGATCAACCTGGACGGCCCTTTCCTCGAGTGGAGGAGGGCAGCTCTGAGCCTGGCACAGGTCCAGCCCAACCAAACCCAAGTTAAGCTGGGAAGGGTGTGGAGGAAGGCCAGGCTGGCGTTCCTGAGAGGGGTTTGCCAAGCTCTACCCTGCAGGTGTGGTTTGGGGGAGACTCAAAGGAGGTAAGGCTGACTGTGAACTTTGGGAGAGAGCCCTGAGTCATCCAGCTGGTGCCCAGCCAGAGTGGCCAGCAAGGGACTTTGGAAAGCCCACAATGGAAAATAAAAATACGAACTAATATGTGTCAAACCCCAACTATGTGTCAGGCCCCATGCTTTCAGCCTCCCCGGCCAGTGTGTGGTGTATGGGTTCCATGCAGCCCTGTTCCTTGTGTTCCTTCTCTGAATCAGGTGAAGTCCCTTCATCTCGGACCATAAAGTGCCAGAGCTAGGTCTCCTTCCCCTTCTGCTCCTCCTCACTCACCTCCCTCCAGACCCCAACAAATCAGCCCCAAGACCACTCCATCCTTGGTCACTCCAGCCCCACCTCCTCCGAGAAGTCCTCTGCTGTGAAAACAAGCCCTGGGGTAGGGCGGATCCTGCTTAAGATCCTGGTCCGGAACCCCTTGTTTCCCCTCTCTCCTCTATGTCAAATACCCATCTTTACAGCCCTACAGCCCCCTAGTTGGCCCTAGTGGCGCTTCCCCTAGGATTCTGCCCTTTAATGCCCCACCGTAGGGGCGTAGGGTTCTGAAGCATAGAGTAGTTGGTGAGGAACCATAAGGTGGTGCAGGATGAAGTCACCCGTCCACATCCGTGCCTTTCGTCTTCCCGGCAGGTGATCCCGGGAAGCCGTGGCGGCAACCTCACCCACCGAGCGCAGGCAGGAGGGCCGCTCCGCCGGCTCCGCCCTTCCGACTCCAGGAGCTCGCCGCGGCGCGCCTGCGCGGGGAAAGCCATCGCCCACGGCGCATGCGCAGTTTTCTCTCCCGCTGTATATTAGGACGACGGGATTCCCGGCCTGAGGATTCTCGCCGACAAGGGCAACGGCTGGTTCGGCTCGTCAGCTGGGGTACCCTCGGCCAACGCCGCTGTCGCCAGCTCCGCAGAGTTCTCCGCGCAGGTGAGGACCCGCGCTCAGGGTGCGGAGCGGCCGGGGACCCCCACCGCGTGTCCTGTCTTCCCGCGCCCTGCTCCCTTAGCCATTGGGACCCCATCCCCCATCGCCGCAATGATCCACAGCCTCGAGGTCAGCGTTCATATGCCGGATCTTTTCCCTGATCGGCCCCCTCCCGACATTTTCCATTTAACCGGCCGCTTTAGAATTCCCTTCTCATACCCCTCCCGTTATTCTCCAGCCCTCGACCCCCCGGGTTATCTCTCGTCTCCCGTGCCCAGGACCAGCACCTACCGCCAGACCCAAGGCCCTCGTTTTTTAGCCCTTGCCTCTTACCAGTTAGTCCCAGGAGCACTTCCCCTTGTCCCCCAGGCCTTCTTTATGACCCCTTCTTTCTCAGTTATGCCCAGTTCACCAAGATGTAGGGGCATGATCTCGGTGAAAATCCTGGCCTCAGGAACCCAGGGCTGGGCTGGATGCCTTCTTCGAGTTTGGGAGTGTAGAGACCAGGAGAAAATCAGAATCCCTAAGAGTCCTCTCTGCCTGGACGGACGACAGTGGCTTCTTCCGTGGCCTCACTTCTCCACCTGGGTGTGTGCCAAGGTGTCTTATCTGCACTGTGCATCATCCTCAAGGAGCTTCTGACCTCCCAAACCTGTTCCTGACTTGTCCATTGTGTCCCACCTCCTTTGTTATTAATCATGGGTATTTACTGTATTTGTAAAGTTGCTTCGCAGGTGCCTTTGTACCTCGCTGGGGAGTGAAGAAGTTGGTGACTTGGGTAGAGTGTGGTCACTTCTTAGTTGCATCCCTCATCGGTGCTGTCCTTAGACATTTTTGAGTGAGACTTGTTAGTGTCTCAGGTTACCCTTGCTATCAACTTCAGGTGACACCTGAAAAACTAGGGACCTTGGAGTGGTATTTACCTGATTATTAACAAGTGTTGGTGTCACTCATCATCTCTGTACAGGATCAGTGCACCTCCTGGACATGGAGACTGTGGTTCGCCGCTGCCCATTCTTATCCCGAGTGCCTCAGGCTTTTCTGCAGAAGGCAGGCAAATCTCTGTTGTTCTATGCCCAAAATTGCCCTAAGATGATGGAAGTTGGGGCCAAGCCAGCCCCTCGGGCCGTGTCCACTTCAGCAGTACTCTGCCAGCAGGTCAAAGAAACCCCACCGGCCAATGAGAGTAAGTGTCACAAGCAGTGAAGTCGAGGGTGGCGATGTTTGCATTCATTACAAGATGCTGGAAGCAGTTCTAGTCCACAGTGCTGATGAGGGTCACATTATCAAAGGGGTTAGTCTGTGCCAGGATTGTATTCTAACCATCCTAACCCCACAAAGTAGGCACTTTCAATTTTCCCACATTTTTTTTTTTGTAATTTATGGATATGGGTTATTACTGTGGTTACAAACTTTCAGAACAGGACTCTGAGACATTGAACTGAGACTTTGCCGAATATCTTTTGGCTTTGGTGTCCTTTTCCTTCCATCACAGAAGGCAGCCCCCAACTGCAAGGCTTCCAGCAGACTCAGTTTTCCCATCTGATGAAAAAAAGATGAAGCAGTGGCCAGTGTTCCACCTTATAGATTGCATGGCAATGTCTGTTGGAGTCTTAGTGTTTGTCAGTGCCTCATTCATGTAAACATAAAGTTGCAATGTTCTGTTCCAGCCTTTCCTTCACTAGATATTTGGCCCTTTGGCTTTTTTTTCCTTTTAACACACTTTATTTTTAGAGCACTTTTGGGTTCACAGCAAAATTGAGTAGAAGCTTTTAGCTTTTGCAAGTTGTGATTTTTTTTCCCCTTGCGTTTGCTATGTTGTCTGGACTGTGCCTTTTGCCCTCATTCATTTCTCTGTGCTGTGCCTTCCCAAATACCTGCTAAATTCTTATGTAGTCAGTTATCTTATACATTATATCTTTGGCTCCAGACCATATAGGCTATTGCAGGCTAAATCATCTTTAAAGTCAGTTCTACCTGTGTGTTATTCAGTTAGCTGAGGCTGTACTGAGGTATCACGCAACCTCCAAATCTCAAGGGTCTAATACATAAAGATTTGCGTCTTGTTCACACAAGATCCACTTTGGGTAATCAAGACAATTCTCTTCTAAGCAGTGACCTGGGATTCCACACTGTGGTGTCCTACAGCTTTACCTCTGAAATAGGTGGCTTTTGCGTCACTGCTGCATTAGGGGAAAGTGAGAGGGTCACAAACCAGCTCATCTTAAAAATTTTTCGTAGTAGTAAATTTCATTCATGTACAACAGTAATCGATCCAGGGTTAATTTTGCTTCACTTGTATCCCCACACACTCTCTCACTGGGCTATTTTGAAACTGGTTCCAGAAATTTCCTCTGTAGATCTCAGTATATGTCTTTAAAAGATATGGCTTCTTCCTAAAAAGCACCATCAGAATACCATTATCACACCTCAAACATGACACAATTTCCTAATGTCAAATATTACATTAGCCCCACCAGCTCTTGGGTATTTTAGCCAGGAAGCAACATATAACATCTGTTGGCCAAGACTGGTCACATGACTCCCACTAAATGCAAGGATGCTATTCATTTTCTCTTTTTTAAATTTTTTTTTTTTACTCTGGCAAAATGCACTAATGTAAAACTTCCATTGGAACCACTTTTAAGTGTACAGCAGTGTAAGTACATTCATATTGCTCTGCAGCCATCACCCCCAGCCGGTGTCCAGAAGTCTCTTCAAACTGACACTCACTCAGTGCTGACTCCCCATCCTCCTCCCCAAGGCCCAGGCAAACATTCCTCTTTCTGTCTCTAGGAATTTGAGTACTCTCGAAACCTCACGTAAGTGGAATCATGCAGAACTTGTTGCAGTAGTGAGTTTTTTTTAACATACGTATTATTTTGTATATGATTTTTAAATTTTTGTTTTTAATAAAGAGATCAGAGTTAAATTAATTTTAGTCTATCTCTGCCAGGAGAGAATGAGGCTTTTCAGATTCTACTTATTCTAGAGAATAATTTACGTTATAGGCCGTGTCAGGTGTGTTCTCTGAATGTGGACTTGCAAGAGAAGAATGTTTTTTTCTTTTAGTGGAAAGGATTTAATCCTTTGTAGGATTTTTTTTCCTCTTTACCATTGTTCAGGAGTCAGTTACGGGTTTTTTTACTGAACAATCGAAATCCTCTTTTACCATTCTGTCCCTAGCAATAGATCCCTCTTCTAGTCTTGGTTGAGTAAAATGTGGCTTTTACAGACTACCATGCAAATATCACAAATGATATTCACAAACTATTTACTAGCTTAGGTAGATCTTTATAATGAAAAACGCAGGATAAACATGTATATAGAAAATAAATAAAACTTGTTTTAAACCTGTACTTAGGGGGAAAAGATAATATACCAAGTTGTCTGCAATAGTTATGTTTTGAATGATAGAACTGTTTTTACTTTTCTAGACTTCCTACAGTGACTGTGTATTTACTGACTTTTATAGTGAATGAAATGAACTTGAAAGCAATTTTTTTTTTACTTTTCCTTATAGAAGATTTTAATAAAGCTGTCTTGAGACAGCTTACCCAAGTTGTAGGAGAGCCCAGCCTATGACTCACAGGAGTATTCCAGGATGATGAAGAAAGACTTTTCTAGAAGGAAGATGAATGCATTTGCTCAAGGGGAGAGGGAAGTCATTATAACTAGAAGCATAATCACCAGCCAACTGTGTTAAGTTATGAGCTTTGATGGATCTAGATGAGAAGGAAGAGGTGTGTGAAGGTGATTGATGTCCCTGTGGGCTCTGCTTAGCATATTGATAGTTTGAACTCTAGCAGACAACAATCCAAATACCTTGCTTTTAGCCTAGCTTCTCTTGCTAAGAAGAAAACCAGTAGTTTATAGGTTAAGCAACAGTAAGCCTTTTTGTCAAGAATCTGTTTAGAAACATTAGCAGAGAAAAAGTTGTATGACCACTGCCAATTACCATCAAGAGTGTGTCCTCTCATGAAACATGTGGAGCATACTTGGGGTAGATTTACTGGAAATAAACCAACTCAAAGACTCTGGGCTGTCTAAAAGTAGAAAACTACTTTGGAGATTTGTAAGGGAGAAATACGGTGGCTTTTTCAAGAGGTGGGTAGGTGGATGTGCCAGTGAAGTCTTCACAGGAGCGTTTCCAGTGGGGCAGATGAAAGAACAGGTGAGCTGGCAGAACCTAGTGAGGATACAGTTGTGTCTGGGTCATGGGGTAGAATAAGTATAAACTTTGTCTTTGAGGCAAGAAGTGAAAGAAACAAGTGGCTTTCTTGTGTGCTGTGCGACCAGATCTGATGCCTCTGTTTTTCCATCTCCCCGCCTCAGAGGACAAAACTGCCAAAACTGAGGTTGGGCAGGCTCCTGATGGACCCCAGCGGACTCTTGATGGCACGCAGCTTCCATCTGGACACCCCTCCCTTCCCGGGAGCCAGGGCACGGCGAGCAAGTGCCCTTTCCTGGCAGCCCAGATGAGCCAAGGGGGCAGCAGTGTCTTCCGCAAAGCCAGCCTAGAGCTTCAGGAGGATGTGCAGGAGATGCACGCCGTGAGGAAAGGTAGACAGACTGCATGAGCCATCAGGAAGAGTGAATGGGTCCTTGGGTGCTTTCGGGCCCTCAGATTTATGTATGAACTATTATTAGGGAAGTATTTGTGTCAACACCTTCTTCTTTTAGGGCCAAGGGGGAAGGTCATCAAGATAGACAGTCAGAGGACTGTATGGCAAAATGTGGGACTTTCTTTCGTGTGTGTGTGTGTGTGTGTGTGTGTGTGTGTGTGTGTGTGAGTGAGTGTGATGTAACCAGCTTTTATAGGAATTTCTTAGTTTCTGAAAATACCCTACAGGCATAGGCTCTTACCACTTGTGCCTTGTTTCTTTCCCACCATCTGGTGGGGTAAAAGGTAAGACACAGTGTCACTGCAGTAAGTGGTGGTCTTAGGACTCCCAAGCTGTGTGTCTTACTGATGGTCATGGAGTGACAATCTTCATTCCAGTTGTGGCTGTATCCGTGGAACACACAGTGTCCCCCCAAATCCTCACTAGCAGAAATGATACACACAGCTGGAATTGTTGTCCATGAAGAAAATTATCTCAGTTAGGGTCAGGGGTAAGATGGGGAAGGCATGCCCACCAGCTAGAAAGCTCTGGGCTTTAATGTTCCTCAGAGCTGGCTGGTAGCCCTGAAAACAAAGCCAGACAGTAACTCAAGAAGAAGAGCAGCTCCATGCACTCAGTTCCATCCAACTTTGGTTCTGATGGGTTATTTTTGTGCACTAGGCAGGAAGCCATTTTTGACAAGATGTCTGGAAGGTATTGTCAGCTCAGAATAGAACATTGGTCCCCTTTCTCTTGTTACTTTTGTTACAGAGGTTGCCCAAACGTCAGTGAACCCAAGTGTGATTAGTGTAAAGACCAACGGAGGGGAGCCAAATGGATTGCTGAAGAACCTTCAGGACATGATGCGAAAGCAAAGACCAGAACGAGTGTCCCATCTTCTTCAGGATAACTTGCCAAAATGTGAGTCTCATCATCATTTGCCTGATGCAGCACAATTTATAACTTAAACATACATTGAATTAAACATAATTGTGTGGCAAGTTGTGGATTAAAAGCTATATCCCTTGCTTGGTGCAAGTAGGTGCTCTTGGTTGTTGTGAATACCATTGCTCTTCATAGCCTGCCTCCTCTCTCTTAATACCTGTGGTCTGCTCACAGTAAGTGTTGTGCCCAGCACTCGACATGTGCCATGTCATCTGAGACATACACAGTCAGTTTCACAATGAGGATGTCAAGTAACTTCCCCAAATGGGTACTTCATTAATTTGTCCAGAATCTCCCTGCAATCAAGTGACCAAGCTGGGATTGGAACCCGGGTCTTATACCAAATTCTAGATGAGATTCTTAACCATCAGACTGTACCATCTTTTGTTTGGTTTTTAGCTGTTTCCACTTTTCAGTATGATCGTTTCTTCGAGAAGAAAATTGATGAGAAAAAGAATGACCATACTTATCGAGTTTTCAAAACTGTGAACCGGAAGGCGCAGTTCTTCCCCATGGCCGATGACTATTCAGACTCACTTATCACTAAAAAGCAGGTGTCTGTCTGGTGTAGCAATGACTACCTAGGGATGAGTCGCCATCCACGGGTGTGTGGGGCCGTCATGTAAGTAGCCCTCAGCTTTCAGCTACCACTGACGTGATTTGATGAGACATTGATGGCTTATTGGGGTTGGATCTTTTATGGGGGTAATATTCAGCAGTTAAAAGTGTGTCACAGTGAAGTGCTATTCTTAGCCTTTACAACTATTTACAGATTGCTTTGAAAGAAGCCCTAGTGTGTAAGTAGTTGGTGGAGCCCCTGTATGTGAGAGGGTTCAAGTTTATGGGCTCATTGACTGCGTGGGTCCGCTCACTTCTACCTCTCCACCAGTGAGTGCCCCTTTGACACCAGGCAGTCTTGCACAGAGGCGTCCTTGCTTATGGCTGTGGTTGGAGAAATCCAAATCTCACAGCAGCAAAGAGAAAGCTACTTCAGAAAGACATTAAAAAGGAGGGGAGAGCCCGTCATGCATGTCCTTCAGGAGGTGTGCCATGGCTAGGGATGCTTGGGAGAGTTGCTTTTCAAACTCCCCCCGGAGGCTTGCTAAAGAGAGCACAGTCTGAGGTTGAGTAATAGAGATATCCTACCATTATATGACTGGTTGGCAGAGGGTTCAGGTAACCACCATCTAAGACGTCCCTTTAGAGACTCATGTCGTGTTATTGGAGAGAGTGACGTCTGTCAGAGAAAAGCACCGTCAGTAAATTAACTACAACAACTGACTGCTAGATGAACCCGTGTTCTTGATGCTCCCTAGAGGCGGCATCACCGTAGTGCTGAGTCTAAAGATGAAGCTGGTTGAAACTTCTGGCCCCAGGTTTCCCAGGGAGAGAGTTACTAGTTTAACATAAGTTTCAGTCCCTAGATCCTGAAGAGAGGAACTATTTACACAGTATTCAGAACCATGAGATATATTTTCTGCCTGCCCTTTTTTTTTTTTTTTCAAGAGACACTTTGAAACAGCATGGTACTGGAGCAGGCGGTACTAGAAATATTTCTGGAACTAGTAAATTCCATGTGGACCTGGAGCAGGAGCTGGCTGACCTCCACGGGAAAGATGCAGCACTCCTGTTTTCCTCGTGCTTTGTGGCCAATGACTCGACCCTCTTCACTCTGGCTAAGATGATGCCAGGTAAGGAAGCCTGTGGTGGGGGCCTTTGAGTTTGAGGGGGTTTCTTAGTAGTAACAGGGATATCGGTAGCAAATAAGGCTTACAAAACCACTCAAGAGTCATGATGGCATCTGGGAGCATTTGTTCTTGAATTGAACATGAAGTGCTAACTGTACAAGTTCCAGCAGAACTTGGTAACAGTGAAGAGTCAGCTTTGCGGGGCTCGTCTTGGAGCTAATTAATTCAGATGTGCTTTGTATTCTAAGAAAATCCTTTGGAGAATTCTCTTAATCATTTGTGGTTATCTTTCAATTGAGTTTGGAGTAAGGCAGCCAGATTTAAAAGCAGATTAATTGCCTACCACTGGGTTATTCTGCACTTACGGGCCTTCTCAGAGGAGAAGCACTAGTTTATTTTGCCAGGAAGAAACTGGCGTGCAGTGTCTTTTCCTGCTGGGCAAAAGCAGCGTTTTCAGGGCGAAGTCTGTTGTCCTTGACTGTCAAAGAAGTAATTTGTCTTTGGTGCAAATGGCAGTAAATAGCATTTCTGTCATGTTAGGCTGTGAGATTTACTCTGATTCTGGGAATCACGCCTCCATGATCCAAGGGATTCGGAACAGCCGAGTGCCAAAATACATCTTCCGGCACAATGATGTCAGCCACCTCAGAGAACTGCTGCAGAGAGCTGACCCCGCGGTCCCCAAGATTGTTGCATTTGAAACTGTCCACTCAATGGACGGTGAGTCTACATAGAGTAGAGGCCAATATGAAATCTCAAATGAAAACAAAGCCTGAACTTGTTAAAAGTGTGATGTTTATTTTGTTTCTGCAATTTCTGCTTTGTTTTTTTTTTCACTGCCAGGGTTTTGTAACTGGGGGACACTGTATGGATTTGGGTGAATGTAGATTTTCTACTCTGGCTTTTATTAGGCTCTAAGACCCCAAGGTAACCTAGAAACTAGGGGAAGTTAATTTTTTTCCCCAATAGTAAAAATGATACCTTAGAACGTAAGTTGTTGTGTTCTAACTCTTACCAAAACAAAAATCTGTGAAATACCAAGTGCTTCAGAGTGGTCTGTGGTCTATCCTCAGGGGCAGTGTGCCCACTAGAAGAGCTGTGTGACGTGGCGCACGAGTTTGGAGCGATCACCTTCGTGGATGAGGTCCACGCAGTGGGGCTGTATGGGGCTCGAGGCGGAGGAATTGGCGATCGGGATGGAGTTATGCCTAAAATGGATATCATTTCTGGAACACTTGGTATGTATACTCTGCACAGACTGTAATCTGCACTAAAATTACATAACCCTAACAAGGCCAAGGGCTGCTGGGTCAGGTGAGGAGATGGTGTGACAGCATCTAAAGCCTGGGCCACATTTTTGAGTGAGTTTTTATTGTCTAAGTAAGTGGCATGGCTTAGCAGAATTCCTTGAATCACGGAGGCATAGTCCCCAGAATCAAAGTAAATCTCACAGCCTAACATGACAGAAGTGCCACTTGTTGCCTTTTGAGCTCATTCCAAGCATAGTTGTGGCTCCAGCTATGCACGACGGCCACAGCTTTTACTCTCTGTGCGTCAGATTGTTCCCTTATGATTAAAAAAAAAAGAAAGGAAAAGAATTTTAGTGTTGTTCTCCTAGAGCAGTTGTCAGGACCTGCAGGTTGAGGCATTGTGTTGTGAAGTACTAAGCTCTGTGCCTATAGCATGGGAACCATTCCAGTTCACTCGGCTACTTTGTATTTCCTTGGCTCCTCCTACTTGAGAGGCAGTGTCTCTTGGAGCCAGACTCCAGACTCCTCCAAATCCATAGCCATGCTGCCTGCTGGGTGTTAATCCTGCCTGCATAACTCACTAGCTGTGTGACCTTGGGTTGGTGGTCAACTTCTCTGTGCCTCAGCTTCCTCGTCAGTATAATGGAGATAACAACAGAACCTGCCTCAGTTTGAAGAAGATAAGTGAACTGTGTGCAGACAGTTACTGTAGACAGTATCTGTGAGGTAAAAAGGCATACTGTACCAACTTGAGGATGTCAGAAGTTAGGCAGCTAGAGAGCCATGTAACAATTAGCGAAAATGCCATTTACAGCCTGCACTTGGTAAAAAAGAGCGTCCTTTAGCACCGTCAAGGGGTGTGAGAACCTTTTGCAGACCCGGAGAGCCTGGGGGTTCACAGAGCTGAGCCTTGCTGGAAGGAAAGCACTCATTCACGTGTCCAAATTCCAGCAGCCCTTTTCTTGTAAAGAGCTCTCATGCAGGTATGGTTGTTGTGAAATGAAAGAGGCTGGAGAGAGAAGTTTTCCAGTGTAAGAGCAACCCAGCCGTGCGTGGGGTCCAAGCAAGAATGTTAATTACAGAACATCACATTAAGATCAACAAGGACTCTCCTGGAGTTGTTAGTCCTGAAACTTGAGATACCGATTACATAAGTGGACTTAACAAGAACTGAAAAATGAGGCTGGCCCTAAATCAGCCGTCACAGGTTCTGACTTCTCATATTCATCCAGCAAATGCTCTTTCTTAGTTTTGTGATTACTGAAATAGAAAATAAAACCAGTCACGCCAAAACAGTTCTCGCCTTAGCTGGGTTCTGTTCCGGCCTCAAGGGTAACGCTCACGTTACCCTCTCCTGGAGGGCTCAGACCCTCTCCTGGAGCACAGGCAGTGCAGACGCCAGGGATGCAGCCGGCCTGCTGAGAAGGGAGGTGGGAAGGGAGGCGGCACTTGGTGTTCTGGCACTGCACCTGCATTTTGATCCTGGTCAGACACCAGCTTGATCACGTGACTTTGGGCAAGCCCCTTTCATACGTCCTCAGCTTCTTCCCATTTGGAAATGGGTGAACATCCCTTTACCTGAGTCTTAGGGCAGGTTATGACAAGAAAGAGCGGAGTAAATGTTCTGAGGCTCTTCAGCACCTGGCTGTGCACTTAGGGGCAGTTGCTATAATAAATGAGCCCATCTCCCCCCAGGCAAAGCCTTTGGCTGTGTTGGAGGGTACATCGCCAGCACGAGTTCTCTGATCGACACTGTCCGGTCCTACGCGGCTGGCTTCATCTTCACCACCTCCCTGCCGCCCATGCTGCTGGCTGGAGCGCTGGAGTCCGTGCGGATCCTGAAGAGCGCTGAGGGCAGGGCGCTTCGCCGCCAGCACCAGCGCAACGTCAAGCTCATGAGGCAGATGCTGATGGATGCCGGCCTCCCAGTCGTCCACTGCCCCAGCCACATCATCCCTGTTCGGGTAATGACTTGTCCATGACTGAACTGGCTGGGGGCCTCTGCACAGGATGTCATATGTTCTGGTTCAATCCTTCCTGAAGTGGGGCTGGGGCAATGTGACTGCCAGGGCAAAGGGCTGTAGCCAGTGGCCCTCTGCCGTGTTTCCACCTTTGGTTGACATCACAGTGAGAATGAAGCCTTTGAACTCAGCAGGCTGGAGTGGAGGTTCCTCCTCCAGAGCACTGGGTAAACACAGAGCTTGTATCTGGGAAGCTCCGGAAGCCTGAGCTTGGCTAGCTTTGAAGTATGGCTCTCTATTCATTTCATTTAGAAACGGGTCTTGCCCTCCCCACTACAAGGGTAGCCCTGTTGGTGTCACAGTTGAATTCATCTAATTAGTAGAGCTGGTATAACCAAAGCTGCCTTCATCCCCAGGGTGCACATGTCCAACTGCCATCATACAAGGGTCACAGAACCTCCGATTTTCCCCATTGAAGTCTGGGAGGGAGATCAGTGTGCAGTTTACCTCTAACATGGTTTTAGCTCTCTGGTATGTCTTGAACAACGCTGGACCCTTTAAACTACAGGCATCTGGGCAACGCTTTACCTCCGCCAGCCTTGCATATGGTGCTCCAGCCTGAGCCACGTAGGCATGTGTCCATTAGTCTCTGCTGAGAGGTGGTCCATCCTGGTCTGGCCTTACCTTCTGTTCTCATCAAACAGATAGCAGATGCTGCTAAAAACACAGAGGTTTGTGATGAACTAATGAGCAGACATAACATCTACGTCCAAGCGATCAATTACCCGACGGTGCCCCGGGGGGAGGAGCTGTTGCGCATCGCCCCCACGCCTCACCACACGCCGCAGATGATGAACTACTTCCTCGGTGAGTACCGAGGGCTGCCGGCACCTCGTGGGAGAGCGGCACGAAGCTGCCTTTGCAGTGTTTAGAGTTAAACCTTTCAGAGGCATTCAGATTTGTTTCTTCTTTTTCCAAGCAATTAAGAGTGTTCTCAAATGGTATAAAACTATTTAGTTGTTTGACTTCACTTCAGGATGGTATGATCGTTTGGGAAGCTCTGCGGGAGCCTGCTGATCCCCTCATCGTTTCCCCTTCCCCCTTGTCCCTGTGACTTGAGGACGCTCAGCAACAGCTGTTGCGGGGGAAAGGAGAGGCCTCCTGAGCTCGGCTCTGCACCTCTCCGTCCCGAGCCAACTCCACCCCTGACCCCTCTTGATGAGGGTACCTGCTCAGTATTCTGCCTCTCACAGTTCTATAAACCCAATCCTCCACCCTCGTGTCCACCTAAAAGCAGAGACTGAATGGGCCTCTTAAGGTGGCCTCTGCCTCAAATTTGCATTGCCCTCCTGAGTCCCTACCTGACCTGAGGGGCTTCTGCTGCCTTCAGCCTTGAGGGCCACTCTGCTAGGAATGCTCACCTCGACCTAGTGGAGCCATGCAGGAGCAACTACTTCCTTGAAGGCATGTAAAGTAAAGCCAGAGTTGGGTTTTCTCTATTTTTATAATAGTCTTAGTGAGACAGAATTCACATACCACAAATTCCACCCTCTCAAATTATACAGTTTCGTGGTTTTTAGGTAATGTGCAGTTGTCGCCACTCTGATTCCAAAACATTTTCATCACTTCAAAGAGAACCCTGCACCCCTTAGCAGCCACTTCCCAGCCCCACTTCCCCAGCCCGTCAACCACTGACCACTCTCCTCTGTGGACTTTCCTTTGTGTTACATCTTATTCAAGTGGAATTGTCCAGGATATGGTCCTTTATGCCTGGCCTCTCACAACACAGTGGTTCCAAGGTTCGTTCATCCACCTTGTAGCATGAATCAGCACTTCATTTCTTTTTATTGCCAAATAATGCATATACCACACTTTGTCTATCCATCAATTGATGGACGTTTGGGTGGTTCCCACTTTTTGACTATTATGAAAATAATCTTGCTGTGAATATTTGTGTGCAAGTTTTTGTTTGATTTGGGGGCATATATTTCCATTTCTGTTGGGTGCATACTCCCTTTAATTTTTAAAAACTTTATCACCTCACAGAAAATCTGCTGGCCACGTGGAAGCGAGTTGGGCTGGAACTCAAGCCACATTCCTCAGCCGAGTGCAACTTCTGCAGGCGGCCACTGCATTTTGAAGTGATGAGTGAAAGAGAGAAATCCTACTTCTCCGGTATGAGCAAGTTGGTGTCTGCTCAGGCCTGAGTGTTGTGACCTCAGTTACTGCACCTAACCCCAGGCCACTCTGCATCTAGATAGGCTCTCCACAATTGTCTTTGTGTGTGAATTAAATTATATTAAAATTTAATCAATAGTAAACACATAGTGCTGAAAATAAAATCTTGTCTAAGTGACAGGTCCTCCTGTTTCTGGCTCCTGAATCCAGAAGTCATTTTCTTCATCCCTTTAAACTTCAGACCGTGCAGAATGCAGACCCTCCCACTCTGCTCGAACTAGCCCGGTCACCCCAGAGCAGCAGCTGTTTCACTGTCTCCCCTCCAACCTGACTCGGGCAGTGGGTGCTGCGCGGTGGTCCTGCTGTGGCCGCCTCCCTCCCGCCCTCCCTCTCAGCCACTGCCCCAACCCCATACTTCCCCCTATACTTCCCGGTTGGTGGGTCCCAATCAGGCTTGTCTGTAACTCGACCCTCCCAGAACAGCGGAGGGTCGGAGGGTCGTGCTCCTTACCCCAACTCCTGCCAGACTGCTGCCACCGTGTTCTGGGTCCTGTCACTTCTCGTACATTCCTGCAACCGTTTCTTGTCTTCTCTGTGCTGGATTTCTCCCCGTTGGCCTGCGGCATGCGCTGGCCCATCCTAAAAATAAACAAGCTCCCCCTCAGTCTCTACCCTCCTCTAAGGCCAGGAGCTGCCGCATCCCCCTGTCCCGCCCCTTTTCTGCTCAGCCCTCCCCACCTGCGTCCTTGCCGAGGCCGCTCCTTCTCGCCACGCTTTTCTCTGTCTTGCCAGGGGCCGGTTCTGAGTTCCTTTACTGGATCTCCCAGTGGTATCTGAGATGGTTGCCCTCAGCCTCTCTACGGCTTTCTCTCAGTTTCCATGCCACCAGCCTCTCCTGACTATTTTCCTCCCCCTTCCTGAGCCGGGGCTTCCTAGAACGTGGAGCGCCCACTGGCTTCATCTCTAGTTGCACTTAACGCTTCCCCTCCGCGCACAGGATCTCCCCCAGCCTTGGTCTTCGGTTCCAGCAGCACGTTGTCGCCGGCCGCCCACAAACACGCACCTGAGCCAGGCGGGTCCTGAGGGCGCCCCGGGCCTGCCCGCCCCTCCCGTCTTCCCATCACCCACCGCGTCACCCGGCCTCCCCACGCGAGATTTAGCAAGTCCTGTCAGTTCCTTAAAGCTACGTCTCATGCCAGGCCCCTTCCTGTCACCTCCGCTGCTACCACTGCGGGCAGGCCACCACCATCCTGGCATCTGCCCCAGCCTCAGCCCCGCACAGCAGCCTGAGAGAGCTTTAAAAGTACAAATCACATCGTGCCACTCCCCTGCAGAAAACGTTTCCAGGTCTTCGAACTGCACTGGTTAAATTCTATTACCTTTTCCTTTTTTTTTTTAGGTTTTTTTTTGATGGGGGGGGAGTAGGGAGGTAATTAGGTTCATTTACTTGTTTAATTTCTTCTTTTTTTTTAAACGGAGATACTGGGGATTGAACCCAGGATCTCGTGCATGCTAAGCATACACTCTACCATATGAGCTATACCCTCCCCTTGCACTTGTTAGATTCTAGATTGTCACACGGGCTGACAACATTCTCTGGGGTCCGGAGCCCATCCCACCCTTATCACCTCACTCGGCCTCATGTGTGGCCACATACTCCTGGGCCTCAAATACCCAAGGAGGGTCTCCCCAGCTTCTAGGCCTTGGTGTCAGCCATTGTTTTTTCCTGGATTTCTCTTTCCGGGATCCTGGTGGGGCTTCCTGTCTTCATGCAGGACAAGGGTCCCCGAGGAGACCTTCCCTGAGCCCCGGTCTAAGGCAGCCCCTCCTGTGTTGTCACCATCGCTTGGCCTCCCACCAGGCTGCACTTCACAATGGCTTTTCCCTTGTGGCTCATTTCCTTTTCTCCTTACTTCCGTGTCCCCAACGCCAGGCACAGGACCTGCCACACCATAAGAACTAAGCAAACATGTTGAATGAACAAAGGGGGACTGTCTCAGCTCTGGCTGCTGTAACTCAACACCCCAGACGTGGGGCTGGAACAACAGACACTGATTTCTCACTGTTCTGGAGGCTGGAAGTCTCAGGTCAAGGTGCTGGCAGATTGGGTTCCTGATGAGAGCCCTCTTCCTGGCTTGCAGCCAGCTGCCTTCTCACTATGAATGCACGTGACCCCTTCTCGGTATGTGCACATGGAGAGAGCTCTCTCTTCCTCTTCTCAGACCACTAAGCCCACCATAAGGGGCTCACCTCATGACCTCATTTCAATCTACCTCCCAAAGGCCCCAACTCTAAGTGCCAGCACCTTGGGGTTAGGGCTTCAACTGATGGGGGACACCAACATTCAGCCCGTAAGAGGGACCAAGGATAACACCCAAGGCTCTTTTACCAGAAAAAATAGATGTGCTCAAGAACAACCAAGCAGCGAGAGGACAGATAAACTTCTGGCTTTGCTGCCCTCTTAGCTTAGAGGGGGCAGTGTGCTCTCTCCTCTCTGGACAGAGCTGTGCTGGGGCCCCTGCCCAAGAGACTGGGGGTGGGTACATGCACCCTTATCGGGCCAGGCACTGAGATAGCTGGCTGAGTCCTGGTCCCATCAGATAAAACCACACATCCAGGCAGGCCGCTGGGCATGGTGGAAGTCACGTCCCCTTGGAACCACCACGCAGTTCCTTTCTGGTGAGGAAATGAGCCTCGCTCAGCTTTCCCAGCTCTGTTCTCTCCTGAGAGCTTTCAGGGCCTTTCCATTGTCCCGCACATTCCCACGCCTAGAACTCCCTCCACCTCCTTTCCGCCCAGTGCGATTTCCCCCTCTACCTTGGGTCATGTTTCTCTCCGAACACTTAGCGAGACCCACCTTCCTTCTTAATAAGACGTTTAGCAAGACCCACCTTTCTTCTTATTAAGACTCACAGCCAGCTGGGTCAACCAGGTCATTAGCTCGACTATTCACTGCCGCTGAGGGGTTGTGAGAACAAAGGATGATGGAATGTTCTGCAGGAAGTGGATGGGCTTTATGAACCGCTGAAAAATGAGAAGCTTGGCTTCTAATAAGGATTCAAGTGTGAAAATGTACGATGTCATAGAAGTTTTCCTGAGAATACTTAGAAGCCAAGAGCATTAAATAAAGTGTCCTAGAGGGGAAAGGGAGAGCCGTAGCTTAAGCTCTTAGCAGGTAGAATTTCTTTACATTTATATTTCTTCCTATAACTTTCCCTAAGTCTTGTGCCCAGAACTCTACTTGTCTAGTACTCGCTGCTCTCCTACAGCAAAAAAGGCACCCGGAGGCCACACCAGGGTCCACAGGTGCCCCAGTCCTGTTCACAGCCTCATGTGCCTCTGAACTCTGTTCAGTGCTCTGAGCGGGATCACTGGCTCAATAGGATCAGTCTCGAAGCCCCATCAGCTGGTTGTCCTCAGCATAAATCCCTTACCTAATAATGATGACCGAGGACCCACTAGGTTTCCCAGGCTTCACACACATTGCCACAAATCCTTCTAATAGCCTACAGAGTAACTCTGGCCATCCCTATTTGCAGATGAGCAAACTAAGTTTTCACAGGAGAGGGCACCTGCCCAGGATAACCCAAATGGCAGAGCTGATGACCATCCCCAATAATCTGACCTGAGTCCCAGCTCCTCTCCGGCCTTGCAGGGCCGTGCTGCAGGCAGTATTCACAGTCAAGGGTGTCTGGCAGTGTGGAGGAGAGGGCCTGGAGCCAGCCACAAGCACCCTTTCTGACCACACCGCCTCCCACCCAGCCCCACCTGAGCCTAGCTCCTAGCACTCCCCACAGGGCCTGGGATTGTGGTTCTGCCCCCTGACCCCGTAGCTTTTCCCTACAAGCCAAACCAAGTGTCACGAACCCCTAGACTCACTTAAGTGGAGCCCAACAGTCCTCCTACTGTAGCCCCCACGCTTCATCTCCAAAATGTTCCTCTTCTGAATCCACAGCCCCCCAAAAAAGCAGGACTGTGAGCACGAGTGAGTGGGTGTGCATGTGGAAGTTCTAGCTGGGTGCTACCCGAGGGCAGATTTGGTCTGAGATGGGCAAATTGTGCTTCCCACATGCAAAATGTGGTGCCTGGGACAGGACACTGCCTCCTGCTCCTGCTCCTGCTCCTGCTCCTGCTCCTGGATGTGGCTGGAACAGACGCTGAGCCTCAGCTGGAGCCTCCCCCAAGACTCCAGCCTGGGGGAAGGATGGTTCTTGTTTTCATTTCTCTCCAGGCATAGGCTTTGGTTAAAGAAGTGCATGGGGCCTTACTATACCTTCAGTCAGATCAGATCAGAGCCCTCATGGGGCTTCGGATCTTCTGATCAGTGGGTCAAAGATCTTCCTCTGTCTTTCTTTCAGGCAGGCAGATAACAGGGGATGCTAACCCCCCTGCAGGAGCCCTTAAACCCAGTCAGGGGAAGGAGGCCTCAGATGTGGCCTGCAGAGAGGGTAAAAGCAGCCCCCGCCCTGACCAGGGCTGCCCACAATCAGGCTGCAGGATTAGCCAAGTATGCAGTCAAATCCAGCCTTCCAGCCCAGAGGCTCCTAACAGCCAAGCTGCCACAAACTGGCCTGGGCCGTGAAGCTGACCCTACCCTCCTGCTGCTCCAGGCCCCAGCTCTGACTGTCAGGCTAATGCGTCTCCTTTGCTCCTCAAAGGGCAGGTTTAGTTGTGGGGATGGGAAGTGAGGCAGCCAGCCTGTGCAAAGCACCTCAAGGGCTCTAAGCCTGACGTGACCGACAACTCACCACACAATTGTGGAGAACTTGAACAGGCTGTCCCCAAACACTGGTCATCAAGGCTCCAGTATCTTGAAATCTACACTAAATCTACCATCAAACCTAGAAACACACACACACTCCAACCAGGTCAGGTGCAGCTGCAGCCTACACTTAGGTGCAATCAGCTGTGGCCACTTTGCAGCCAGGTAGCAGCTCATCTAGGTATCCCTTTGATGTCAGAACAGAGAGACCCAGCATGCACTCTAGGTGGAAACAGAAAAGGATGGATTGTGAGTTCACTCTAGAATTTTCCGTGGCTCTCAGCTTGCTGTGTCAGGATATACCCGCAGGCTGTATCCTCTCCCCAACCTGGCCAATCTCCTAGGTGCAGCACAGGCATGACCACCAGAGGGCGGAATTGTCCCTCTGAATTTGCAGGAAATCTTCCCCACCTACTTCGTTGTTTTTTTTTTAATGAAGGGAAGGTAATTAGGTTTATTTATTTATATTTGGAGGATGTACTGGGGATTGAACCCAGGACCTTGTGCATGCTAAGCATGCATTCTACCACATGAACCTCCATCTACCCTCTTCTCCATTTACTTTGGAATGAACCTTCCACCAGCCTGCCACCTCTCAGGAATTTGGCAGCAGTCAGAAATGAAGCTGGGGGTGGAGAAGGGAGGGAGGGTGCCCCCTCTACAGATTCTTCGCCCGTAAAGCATCTTCAGTCCTGCATTAGCAGGTGAGGGAGACAGATCCTAAGACCACTTACAACAGAGAAGTGCTGAGCTCAGTGGGACTGCGCATTTGCGGGGAGAGGTGGAAAGGAGTAGGAGACCCAGCCTGCTCTCTGGGCAGAACCAACACCACATTCAGTGACCTTCCTCAGACTCTCCTGAAAAGATACCTATGAACACAACTGCCCTTGGCAGCTTCCCTCCCCTGCAGACCTGTTCCCCATGGGCCCTCCCCTTTTCTCCATAGCAATGATCCCCAAATCACCTCTTGACCTGCTTCATTTTAGGAAGACCTAGAGAATTCTCCCTTCTTTCCTCCCACTCACACCTCCAGTGAACTGAGGGTTAGCTGTTTGGCCCTCTGATAGCATTTATTGTGCACCTGCTATATGCCAGAGGGGCGGGAGGTGGGGGCAGAGCAGCAGTGTTGCAGAGCAAGGCAGGCTGGGGCATCCCAGGCAGAGAGGCAAGGTCAAAGGGGATGGGGCGTGCTGGGCTGCCCCCTGTGTTATCCAGCGGTCGTGGGGCCCCGGCAGAAGTTCTGGTTATAGAAGTGGCGGTTGTCCCTGGTCAGGGCCATGCCCAGCTGGGCCCAGAAGCTGCCCTGGCCACTGGGCTGCTGGGGCCAGAGGAGGACACTCTGGCGGCAGAGGTGCTGGCGCAGCCGCACATAGCGGGAGCGGTAGGCGTCGGGGCGCAGGATCACCAGCACCACAACGTCCTTGCGGTCCTCCAGCAGGCGCTGCTGGGCCAGCAGGAAGCTGGCACGCAAGAGGCCACTGACCCGATCCGTGTGGGCCAGCACAAACAGGGTCTTGCGGCTGCTGTAGATGGAGGCCCACAGGTTCTCAAAGAGCGTCTTGCCAGGTAACCAGTCACGCTCCTCCAGGCACAGGCGGAGCGCCCGGCGCCCACGGCGCTCCTCCAGCTGCACTCGCAGCTCGTTGTACACCCAATCGGCCACTGCGCTCTGCGCCTTGTCGAAGACCACAAAGGCATCATAGAGCAGGGTATCTGCACCCCGCCGCTGTCCCCGCCGGGGCAGCCAGGCCAGACACAGGTGGAAGCAATACCAGAGGTCCCAGCCACAGAGGTGGTACAGCATGGGCACAGCCAGGCCCAGAGCCACGGTCAGCAGCGAGAGGCCAAAACAGCCCCAGGAGAGGGCCTCGTCCAGACAGAGGCGCAGGTCCTGTGCGAAGATGCTGCGGCCCTGGAGCTGGCCGGGACTGCCACACTTGACGCGGCTGGGCAGACCAGGCACAGCAGCCTGCACCTCCAGCAGGAAGTCCACGAAGACTGCCCCACAGGCGCAGTGCAGAGGGTTGGCGCTCACATCGAGAATTTTCAGGGTGCCCACTAGGGAGCCAAACCAGGAGGGTTCCACCGTCCTGAGAGCATTGGCGCTGAGGTTGAGCTCCTGCAGCACCTTGGCCAGAGCAAAGAAGCCAGGGGCCACAAAGCTGATGCTGTTGCCGCTAAGGTCCAGCCTCCGGAGCTGGGTGCTAGATGGCAGGCTGCCATTGCTCAGGGCCTTCAGCTGGTTTCCTGCCAAGTCCAGAGCTTCCAGCTCAGGTAGGAGGGCCAGGCTGCTCCAGTTGAAGAAGGCCAGCTTATTATCACGGAGACGCAGCAGCCGCAGGCTCTTGGGGAGGTTGTCCAGGTTGCGTGGCAGGAGGGTGTGCAGGTGGTTCTGGGACAGGTCCAGCAGGACCAGGCTTCTCAGGCCTTGGAAGAAGTGCAGATAGAGGTCTCCCTCAGCCCACATCTGGCTCAGGGCATTGCCGCTAAAGTCCAGCGCCCGCACTGAGGCGCTGCAGAGCTGCTGGGACACGCGGCTATGGATGCCGTTATGCGCTAGGCTGAGGTAGCGCAGGGCAGGCAGCTGGGCCACAAAGCTGAGGTTGTGGCCCACGCCCTGCATGCTGAAGGGCTGGCTGTTGTAGCTGAGGTCCAGCGCCTCCAGCCGCGGCAGCTCTGTGAACGAGCGCCCGTGGTACAGGTCCAACTTGTTGTGGGACAGGTCCAGCACCCGCAGGCTAGTCAGTGGCACAAACTGGGAGCCATTGACCGCCTGGGAGATGCTGTTGTGGCTCAGGCGCAGGCACTGGAGGCGCGAGAGATGGGCAAACATCTCTGGCTGGACTGTCACCAGGTTGTTCCGCGAGAGGTCCAAGGTGAAGCTGAAGGGCTTGCAGTTTGGCATGAAGTCCTCTGAGCCGAGGGTGTTCAGTGGGCCTTGAGCGAGGTTCCTGGTCGGCAGCCGGAGCTTCCCTCGGCCATCTGCCTTGCCTGTGGTGGCCGCTGGCCTCATAGCTCCGCTGATGCGGTTGTCTGACAGGTCCACGTAAAGCAGGCCAGGGAAGGCCTCAAAGATGCTGAGCTG